TTTAAATAATTGTATTTTTGATTAAAAAAAATTTTTTATAATAAAATAATGATGTTTTCCAATGAGATTTATTAAAAATTAAATATAACAACAAATAAACTCTATTAACATACATGGGAAACGAGTTGACAGCACTCTCAGCACTCTGCACAAACGCAGCAAATGCGGTGTCAGACCTCAACAAATTCAAAAATGAATACAACTTTGTTGACAACAAGTCACTTGACATTGATCAACGCATTGAAAATGCAGAGGGACACTTCGACAGACTCGATGAGGTATTTGAGAGAAAGAAGAACATCACAACTTCACTCAACACAATCGTCACTGATTTGGATAATGCATCAAACAAAATCAAAAGTGAGATATGTCTGTATTCAACAGTAAGCAACAACGACAAGTTGTATGAGATATTCAATATCATAATTACACTTCTTGAAGAAAAGTGTAAAATAAACATAAAACCACATGAAGATGAAATTAACAGAATCATACAAACAAAAAACATTAATATTGATCAAATTATGAGATCGGAGAAATTCATCAATTCAAAGAAACAACACGACGAAGATAGAATGAAATGTGAACACATCAGACTTGAAGAAAAAGCCGGTTTTGAGAAGTTGACAGGAATGAAGATTGCAAGTGTTTTGTTTGATTCAGACAAAGATGACTGGTCAGAAGACACGTCTGTGTTTGATAAAAAAGTTATGAATAAAAGCAACTTATGCTTTTTAATAGAAGACACAAATCACAACAAATTTTGGTGCCGTGTACACTGGAAATATCAATGCTGTTGGTAAATGGCTTAACAATGGCAGTTCTTACATTTTTTCACTTGTGAGAAATGGTACTTTAAATCCAAAAAAGTTTGGTAAGAGTGGAAATGACGCCAATAATGAATTTTATTTATGTTCTCAAAACGATTCATATCTTTTTGGGTTTGGTTTTAGTAATAATAGTTGTGATATACTTGTGTTAAAGAAAGGAATTGATGGTAGTTATTGCTACCCATCCACTAACACCGCCAAACAAAACGAGTTGACTGATAATGACAATTACACACCAAAGAGTGTCGTTGTCTTTCAACTTGACTGACTTTTTTGCAAATTTTATTTACATTCAAAATTTACAACACGTTGACTCCAAAAATGTCATATATTTGTAATTTACCACGTCACCACAACCTGAATTAATGTACACCAAGTTTTAACAAAATCTACCCTTTTTGAAGGGTCGGACAGACGGAAAGAAAACGGATTTTACCCTTCAAACCTAACACTGGAACGAACACATGATAAGTACATTTTTGACGTTTCTTTTTTTCAGGCATCTCCTATTTGTGTTTTGTGTCTTTTCTGAAGATGGATTCACGACGCCGCAACTCGCCGGGTTCAACAAGTTTCGATAGTTGCGGCATATCTGCTCTTTGTGTCCTATTGTATCTTTCTGAAGTATATTAAAGAGTGTTAACGTGATAGACCACTTTTGTGTGGATGGCTTTGGGAATCTTACATGTTTTTGTTGTAATTGCGATTAAATTTGCCTAAGAGTTTACAAAAAAATGGGTTTTTTGGACCGAATTCATAAAAAACCGATTTTTTTGAAAGTTAAAACAGAAAAAACAAATTTTATTTTTAGTAAAAGAAGTAGTATATAAATTATGTTATTTTTGGGTCCCTCCATTTTATCTATATTTTATAATACTTTAACTACGACACTAAAGTGTCTGAGGAGCAAAGATCTGTAAAACGCGAGGACGCGAATTTGAATTTTCCCAAAATTCGGGATTAAAGAATTCCAAATTTTAAAATCATATATTTTAATTTTTTAATTTTTTATTTTCCCTAAAATGAGCACCTCACAAGAATACTTGAAAAAGAATTTTTATCAATTTACTAATAAATATTCCTAAAAAGATGTTTTAAATTGTTTCACAATCAAAGCAGGAACTATTAAAGCTGTTTTTACTAAAATTAATAATAGAGAATGTAGAAAAGAATTAATTGCTATGGGAATAAACACAAGAGATTTATATTATTATTTTTAAGCAAAATAAGAAGCTAAATTAAAAAGAATTGAAGTTAATAAGAAAAGTTCTATTTAATTAGAACAACCATTTTTAACAAAAGTTTTCAATAAATTAAACAAAACTGATAAACAAACTTTTGGTTTAATTAATAAAAAAGCAACACTAATTAAAGATTTTGATGATGTAAAAATTCAAAAAGAACTTGATAAAAAGAATTTAGAATGGAGTTTAAATAATATTTCTTTTGATGATATTGAAGATAATGATGATTTAATGAGAGAAGATATGCATTGAAATTTTGGTGAAAAATTAAGAATTAACATTGAAAAGAAAAAATATTTTAAAGAATTAAAAGAAATAGAACAATATGAGAACAATATGAAAAAATATAATGATATGATAGAAGAAATAGAATTTGAACAACTTTATAATGATAATTTGGAACAATATAACGATATGAATGAAGATATTAATGACAATTCTGAAATTAATACTAAAGTAACATATGATAAAAAAATAAAATAATTTATGCTGATCTTAGATGTGGTTTTAAAGAAAAATTAAGAAGAATTCAACTGGTAAGATTGTATTTTAACGATTTAATTAAAACCTCTTCATCAACTAGTGATATAGTTTATAATTATCACCTTAGTCAAGATGGATGGAAATCTTATACGTTAAATACTCAAGACGCAATTGACGAATTTTTTAGTTCAGTATCTGAAGAATCTATGGGTTTTATTAACAAAAATAAGTTAATAATGGTATAGATTCTACTTTTTATGTCAAACAAACTATTCCAGAACCATTATTCTTACTTGAATTAAGAATTTCACCATATCATTATGAAGAAGATCTTATTCATCAATATAAAACTACTGGTGGTTCTTTCTTCCCATACAGATATAAAGAAGAATTCAGTATATTTGGAAAATATCTTGCTAAAGCACAAATATTCAGTTCATTATTCGATAAAAATGGAAAGATTAATCAAAATTTGATTTAAATTGTTACTGTTATGCTTTAAAACAAGCTAAAGTTGACAATAAAACTTTAGAATTTGTATTAATTCATTGTAGAGGTAGATATCTAAAAGCCAAATCATTGAATGAGTTGTGTAAACAATGTAAGTTAAGAATCAGAATAGATAAAGAATGTACTGACAATAAATTAAAAAATAAGAATAGAAAAATAGATTATTATCGTTGCGAACTCAAAGATGCTAAATATAATTTAGAAATGTTTTTATATCGTGATTCGGTTATGAAGGGAGATCATTATTTATTAAAAATATTGATATTCATATTACTTCGTTCTATCTTAAGAATAGAGAAGAAATGAATAAATATGCAATCGATCATAACAAAAAATTG